GCATTATCCCGAACACCTTTTCTATGTCCAGGACATGGTTTTCCTTCTTCTTGCTTTTGATCAGGATGTCATCAACATATGCTTCCATTGTGACACCCAGCACTTCTTTGAACAACATCCCGATCATCCTTTGAAAAGTTGCCATTGCGTTTTTTAATCCGAATGGCATGACGATATAGCAAAACACGCCATCCGAAGTAACGAACGCCGTTTTCTCTGCATCGGCCGGGTGCATGAATATCTGATGATAACCCCGGAAAGCATCCATGAAGCTCAGTAATTCACATCCGGCAGTTTCATCCACTAGCAGATCGATCCTCAGCACTGGATAGGGATCCATGGGGCACGCTTTATTCAGGTCAGAGTCATCCACGCACATTCTCCAAGTAGATTGTTCTGGGGCTAGAACCACATTGGATAGCCATTCTACGTGGATTACCGGACGGATGTGCTTTATTCTCAGCAAGGTGGCCACCTCCTTCTTTGTGAACTCCCGTCGTTCGGTTGCTTGATACCATTTCTTCTGCTGGACTGGTTTTGCATCAGACCGAACGGCAAGTTTGTGACATATTATCTCCGGATTAATGCCGGACATATCTTCTGGCCCCCGGGCAAACAACACCTGAAACTTTTTGAGGACGGCAATCACGCCATCCCGGATATCGGCCTCCAGATCTACCTCGATAGCCACATTACGGTTCGGGGGAAATCGAGGTCGATTTGTTCAAGAAGGGTGGCGGGCTCTGGGTGTGCCTCGAACTCCGTTCGGTGTGTTTCCACCTCAATTGTATTAACCCGCATCCCACGAGTGTTCATCTGTTTTAGGGCCTCCCGATAACATGTCCGGGCTGTCGTTGGATCAGTTCTGGCCACCCCTACCCCAGTGTCTGTAGGGAATTTGATGCATGAGTGGCGGACAGAGGCTATTGCCTCCAGATCTTCCAATCCCGGTCGGCCCAATATGGCATTGTGGGCACACTTTATATCTACCACCACGAACGTCATTCGGAGTGACGCTTTGTGGGTTTCATCCCCAATTTCAACCATTAATTGGATGGTCCCCTCAGCCTCAATGCACTTACCGGTGAAACTTGCTAGTGGGGTCCGTAGGTGGGTCAGTTGGCTCCTTTGTAGACCCATTTTCTCGAATGATTGTAGATACAATACATTCACACTGCTCCCGGTATCGAACAGTACTCGGCGGATCAAAGCATTGTCAATACACATGCTTACCACCAGTTCATCCCTGTGTGGGCTTGAAGAGTTGGGTAAATCAGCTGGCCCGAACGTGATCGGGTCTGTCCTTCCTTTCTTATGGGGGGAGTGGAGACGGATCCCACATAAAGACTTCGCTCGAACCTTTTCTGTTCGGCGTTCGAATCTCCGGTCTCCCCGCCCCCAAATATAACCTTGACCTCCATTCGAGGCTTCTTTCCAGGGCCTCCCGAGCCCTCTGGCTCATCCCTGGGAGGAACATACACATCATTTTGAGGCTGGGCGTCACGTTGAGCATCCCGGCGCCAGCTATTAGGTTTCCTGGCCGGTTTCAACGTGCACATAGCATTCAGATCTTTATTCACATATTTGCCCAGATGGCCCATTCGGATCAGATCCTCAATGGCTGTTTGTAGGGCCCTGCAGGCATTGGTGGCATAACCCTTTCTGTTGTGATATTTACAGAAAGCATTATCATCCGCTCCCATGAACTGTCCAGAATCAGTCGGGATGGGAATATTGTCCCTCTCGTGCTGATAGATGGTCGCTATTGATAGGACCAGGGGTGTAAATCTCCCTTGTTTGGGAGGTAAAGCGGCCGCTGGGCTAGGACCCAGCCGATCGGCCATTCTGATCGGGGCAGCAGGCGCAATGACCTTATCCCTGATCATTATCTCCTCTTCTAGGGCGGCATGCTTGCGAGCCCTATCTAATACCTCGGCGTACACCGTACCCGGATTTTTTTCTTCAACTCTTTGTACAACTCCCCCGTTCGGAGAGCATTTGTGAATAGGGTAATGGCGGTATCATCCGTCATGTTTCCCACCGTTAAAGTTTCATCTCTCCACCTTTTTAGGAATTGATTGAGGGTCTCTTTGGCGTTTTGCTTCACGCTGGTCAAATAGCTGAAGTGCCGTTTGGGATTGGCACTGGAAGCAAACTGAGCCAAGAATAACGCCGATAACTCGGCAAAGCTGTTGATTGACCCGGGCTGCAGTGTCCCGAACCACTCCTGGGCAGGCCCCTGAGCGTGCTGAAAAAAGCCCGGCAAATGGCGGCCTCGGGTGCTCCTAGCAGCATGAGTCCCCCTTGGTAACTCCTCAGATGTACGTGGGGATCTCCCACCCCGTCATAAATTTGGCCGGTCGGGGGCTTGGCACCCCCTTGGATATCTGCGTACATGAGTTCCCTAGTAAACGGGGAAGTAATTCCCAGCTGAACTAGGGCAGGTTGTACAGGTACCATGTTCATCTGGTCTCGCATTTCATTCATTTGCCTTCTTATCTCGGCCATTTCTTCCTCCTGGGTCGTCAAAGGGGCGGTGGTGGAGCCCTTATATCCGTACAGTCCCGGTCCCAATGCCGCTGAGGGGCCCTAGTATTTTCCCGCTCGGCATACTGGAAATGATGACCAACAGGAGTTGGTCCTCTAGCTTGTGATCCGACCGGGATTCGGTCACTGGGACTGTGGTGCGCTGTTGGTGGGGCGCTACGTCAATTATCCCGATGGACATGTGAACGGGATGACGCTGTGGTTGTTTCCGTGCGTGGGATCTCCCCTGTAAAGCTGGAACCTCCTTCCTCTTCGTTCGCCATATGCTGCATGACCTGGGCCATGTCACGCATGGCCTGAGGATTTCTTCTCAGAGATTCAGGAATCACAAAATCCCCATCGAAACGAGGATACGATCCTCGACTGGATTGTCCCTGAGGGTTTTGACTCCCCGGGGTGTGACTCCTCCCGTGACGGCGTGAACCGTCGCTTGTATGATAGGAACTGATTCTGACCATTTTTGAAAAATAGAGGTTTTTTGGATGATTTGAAAGTGAAACTTTTTGCAAGTTTCCCACAGACGGCGCCAATGTTGAGGGTAAATCCTGTAGATCCGAAAGCCCAACACGAACTTTGGATATATCAGGAATGGCCCAGAATCAAAGCGTGTCAAAAATATAAGATCTGAACTAACTAACACTCGAAAACTCACTTGTATTAATTAACCAATCTGATTACAAGGAATTTCCCGATCGGTAGGTCGGAAACTATGCTTTAATACAAGAAATAAGAGCAATGATGCTATTCTAGAGCCTGAGTATTGAAATGCTAACCCTTACAATGACTTGAAACCTTCTATTTATACTAATGGAGAGCATGGGTTGCCCCATGCTGATTGGCCGTTGTTCCACCGACTTGGTCATCCATGCTTCCACTTGCTGATGTCATAGTCTGACATTAATTGCACCTGGCCACTTGCTGGTTGGCCGTTGCTCGAACGGGATGTTGGGCTGTACTGAAGATGCTGTCAAATTGGCCCAAGTACGATATATAGCCCGAACCCCGTTCGGTATGTCTTCTTACTGGGCCAACCTTTATTTGGGCCGAACTCCGTTCGGTATGTCTTCCTACTGGATCTATTCATCATAGAATGATGGGCCCGTTGCTTGGGCCGGATATCTTGGGCCTTCTCGATCTGGGTATTGGGCCTCTAGGTCAATATCCCAACACATGTCATTATATATAACAATTATTTACTTATTTTATACCTTTTTTTTTATTAGATTCTATTTTTGATTGCATATTGATATGGAAACAAAAATCCTTATAAATTCACCTTAATTAATTTGGCAAGCTTCAAATAAGTAAAATAATTTTTGGTTATCAAAGTGAAATTCTAATAACGTTTATTGATATGGAAACTAATTTATACGGAGTATTAGTTTACTATAACGAATTAAATAGAAACAAATATGCAAATTAGTTTACTTATTAATTTGACACCTATTAATAAATTAGTAAGCTTCAAATAAGTAAATAATTCAAAATGAAATTAAAAATTATAACCAACATAAAGTATACTCCCTCCGTCCCGGTCATTTCTTCCGATTTTCCTTTTTTGGCCGTCCCAATTAATTCTTCCAACTTTCTACTTTTGGAAAAAATATGTGGTTCACATTCATTCACTTTTTTCTTACACAACTACAACCATACATTTCCACTTTATTCCCACTATCTAAATTTGCGAGCCAAGTCAAAATTGGAAGAAATGACCGGGACGGAGGGAGTATATATTTTCACAAGTAAATATGTTTAGCTTAGCCAAATAAGTAAAAAAAATTGGTTGTTTCTTTATTTTACACCTAAAATTCAAATATGCCTTCACTTTTGAAACAGATTCCTAATCCAAATTAGAAAATCTTTATAGGTTTATGAATTCCTACTTTTATATTAATAGAATGTTTTTAATTGGATTGATTTCAGTTCCAGATTAAATCAGATCAGATCAAACTTAAATAATTATAACAATAAGTCACATAAAAAACAGACATCTAATAGACCATGTTAATTCATACCAAATCAAACCCAAAATTTTAATTCAATTAAAAACGTTCTTATTAATGAGTAAACTGTAAGATCTAACAATTAAGAAATATAGAATTTTTTTTATTATTGGGTTCATAACAATTATGTTTACTTGAGATGCTTATGTAGAAGACCAATTTAACTCTATTGTTCATATATTTTTTTCTTTGTTTCACAAATGGAATATATTTCACATATATTTTTCATGATTCTGAAGATTTCACCTATTTAACCAGAATTCAATCAATTTCAGCAAAATAAGTTAATTCTATTTACTTTAGTATTATCAAACAGACTCTATATTAGACTAGGTTTATTTTTCTTTTAAATCACATTATATGTGATCCGATAGAAATTAAATTTCAAATTAGCTAAATTATATACTGCCCGTGCATCGCACTGGCTTGAAAGCTAGTAGTACAATATTATATCAGCAACATTTTGAAGAATTCAAACACAAAACCGGAATATAAACGAATTTGTTGAAGTCATTACAGACTACAGAGTATCTCCATAATGCAAATACAGTTGAAGAATTAACAAACCCAAACCCAAATGATGCATTAGTAGCAATGTAGCAACATGTTTAAGCATCATTCACTATAAAAAAAGTTAAAAACCTCAAGACTGAGCAAATTGGTTGACTATCTAGAGTTTAAACAAGTGAAAGACATTTCTAACCTCGGGCACTTAACTTCCCATTGGCTGCTATGCTTTTCCTCCCTTCTTTCTTGTTGTCCTTTTACCTTTTCCTTGGGTATCTTGGTCATCTCGACCACTCTACATTAGTCATTAAAATAAATAAACCTAATTACCAAGCCAAACGAAAGCTTATAATACAACAACATTACTCCAGCGCGGCAAAAGAATAAAGGGGTCGGACGTATGACATCTTACCATTGTACTAAAGGATGAAAATCGTGTTGATTACTATGTACTTCATTTGTTGTTTTAAAGTTTCTGTTTTTAATACTACCTCCGTCCCTATTTAAAGGTATCACTTTGAATTTTACACAATTTAAAAAAATGACACTATTTGGTATTGTTTTGACATTGTTTGACACTGTTTTGTTTACAAAAAACGAGACTTTTTTAAGGGACGGAGCGAAAAGGCAGGTAGTTACGTAGTATAATACATTGACAACATATTACTTATTTTGTACGGTACTAAAGTTAAATTATAAAACATGTTTATGTTTAGAAAAGTGGTAATTTGAGTTTGCATCTCATTTTATTGTTCAAATTGGAGTTTGCATCTTTTTTTTTAATCTTTGTATTTGCACCCCAAACTCATATGAGAAGACAAAAAGTCAAAAAATATGTTGACTTTTTTTCAAATCTTTTTTGAAAAATCTTTGCATTTTTTCAAATCGATTAGAAATATGTTGAAGACAAACATAATTGTTAATGGAGAGGCTTTTTTGTCTTTCATACGGATTGAGGTTCAAGTACAAAAATTTTTAAAATACGGGATGCAAAGTCCAATTTGGACAATAAATTAAAATGCAACTTAAATTATCACTTGAAAACTTGTTATGAATGTAAAATTCCAGAAAAATGTGCCTTGTAGAAAATACAAAATTTTAGAACTAAACTCACAATCTTGCTTAACTAGATCAAACCTTAGGAGTAGCTTCTACTACCTCCCTCCCTTTTTATTTAGTCATTTTTTATTAAAGGTGATAAACTTTGATATTATTTTAACTTAATAAACATTAATATATTTATGTGAAACTTAATAAATTTATACTTTTATGATAGTATTTTTAGAAAAGAACATTTTCACATAATTTTCATATTATCAATATTATCGTGTATAAATATATAATCGGTCAAAGTTGAACAACTTTAACTTGAAAAATAGTGTTCATTTGAATAAAAAAAAGGGAGGGGGAGTATACTCCCTCCGTCCCATTGGACTTTGAAATATTTACTTTTTTTTGTGATACCAGAAAAAACTTTTACATTTTCACATTAAAGTACTCCCTCCGTTCCAATTTTATTTTCAAAATTTCCTATTTTGGTTGTCCCAAAATGGTTTTCTACCTTTTATTTTAGATATGTAAATAAGAATAAAGTGACAAATTTACCCTTACTTTTACTTTTTCTCCATTAACTTAAAATCATCTACTTTTAGAAAGATGGGTTAAGTGTATATAGTAAGCATCATTATTGTTATTCCTTAATCCTTGTGATTCTACTCATTTCTCACCCGCAAATTCCATTGGACGGAGTTAAACGGAGTATAATATTAGAACTGAACCCGATTACAGCATTGCTAAATCAAAACCTTACTTTAAAGTCGCGGTCGTAGTCGTCATCGTCATCACTTGAATCGCTGTAAAGACCATCATCAATTGAACTATCATAACCGAGCTCATCGTCCGAGGTATATGGGCCATATTGACCAAAGTCGGGATTATCATATTTATTGCGGAAGAGCGAATCGCGGAGCTCGATTCGATGATGGATTTTTCCGGCAGGTTGGAGGTCGGCGCACAACAGAGGTCCAGAAGCTACAGAGTTGGTGCTAGGCAATGGAGAACCGGCGGAGACATCGATCAGCTTGTTTCGGGCGGTTCCGGTTGCAATTGAGGGGCGGAGGAGATGGAGGGACTGGAAGTGGGCTCTATTCAGCCGAAGGAATCTAGCTGTGGCGGCCATGGTTAACTGCAATGTAGCATCTGTCTTAGTAGGGTTTTGTATGATCGTTTATATTTTAAAATATCAGGAGGGGTTTAAGAATTAAGATAAGAAAAAAGATTAAGAAAACGTAAATTAAACTTTAATGGATAGTCCGAGAGCGAGACTATATTCATGTACTTGTACATGTTCTATTCATTTTTATATTCACTAGTTTTCAAGCTCGTGCGATGCACGGGCAGTGCATAATTTTGTAAATTTAATAATTTCAAAATTATATATAATTTATTGTGATGTAAAATCAAAATAAACCCGATCTAATATAAAACCATTTGATAACACTAAAATTGGTCGAATTTTCTGACTCCACTATAATGAATTAAATCTAATTGATTGGGCTAAATTGACGGAATCTCCCAAATTATGAAAAAGTAAAATAAAATATACTACGTATTACATATATATATAATAAAATAAATTAAAATTTATTGTATTAATTTTACTTTACGTATTTATAAACTTTACATGTAGGTCAGATTTTAATATATATACCTTGTTTATTAATTTTAATATATATACCTTGTTTATTAATTTACGTGTTTAAAGAATTTTTTTCCTTTCCAGTGTATCCTTAAAAATTATACGGAGTAGCAAATTTTGTGCATTCTTTTTATTTTCAAGGAAATAACATTCATCTCAGAGAATTACTTGGGAATATGGTACCTCCAAAGGGTCTTTAACTTATTGCACTCATCAATATCAAGATCTATGTACACCAAACTTGAGGGGATGTTGATAAACATAAATTTCCGGCACAATTAGAACAAATTTACTGAATATTGAAGAGGTAGTGTACATCATATTATCACAAAGAACCCAATGCACAATGGAATTTGAACTGTTAGCTTTATTTTTGTGATTTTTTACCATTATATTCTTTAACTATAGTAGAGGTAATAACTATCACAAAATGTTTTGTAGGCTCATTGCAGAATTGAGTTCATTTCGTTGTTTGGTAAGATGATCAATGCATTGACCCCATAGTCTTATTTTGATGCGGTTCGCCCTGCATGATAACAAAAGTGAGTACATGTGATTGGATGTTACTTGAATTTTGTAGGAGAAAAAACTATATAATTAATAAATAGATATAAAACATACCAATGTTCTTCTATTTCAATAGTTTCACATCCATTAGGATCATAATCATTCACAACCGTGCCAACCACATCTGCACGAACAATATTTAGTGGTATAAATTTATTATAGAAATATAACATCGATATAATATTTAGTAATAATATTTTTTCATACCAGTCAAAAGATATTTACTCCCAAGATGACTCTTTAAATTGTTGAAAGATGCGAAGTCAAATTTATAATTCAGCACTTCAATTGCTTCTCCTTTGACTTCTTTGATGACGGTGTTATGGAAGAATTGTAGCATGATTTTATTATCGGATACAACATGATACTCTTCTTTTGGGACGTAATGGATGAGCATATCCACTTCTTATATAGATGCATGAACATAATTACCCTGCAACCACACAAAAATATCATTAGTTGATTTTCCCTAAAATCGGTGCATTTAAAATTTGAAATTAAAATACACACACACATCTTCATCAATTAAAACAATGTCTAAACAAATTAAGCTGCCTTGCCTTTTGTGATTGATGACATCACAGAGGCGTGTAACATGAACTTTGATTGTCCAGTTGAACTTGGGTGTATCAAGTTGACGTATTAGAGAATAATTTTTGCATTTTATGGAATATTAATCAATCAGGTATAATGCATAATATCATGTATTATAAACATGTGAATGGTAAGGTATCATATGTACATAGTATTCAATAATGTATCATTGAAAATGCTATAGAAACATACCGTGATGACATTCTTAATATAAGAACACTAAACAATAGAATTCTTCCAACGAAGAAGAAAGTCAATAGTGAAAATACAATTTAGATTACATTCTCCTTCTTTATAATAGCCTACATAAGTACCTATGCAATATATGTAGTTTTTATGTTTCTAAATTCTAATTTTGGAAACATAAAATATAGTAGCCTAAGAGCATATTCAATGCAAAAATGTGAATTGTGCATATGTGACATGAGAAATAGCCAATTAAAAAATAACAAATAGAATATTTCTCTCTTTTTTTCCACGGTCTTATATGTTTTTGGTAAGTTTTTCTTAACAATGTTAACCACAATGTCTATATCTAGACATTGTGATTGACATTGTGAAGAAAAACCTATCAAAAACATATAAGACCGTGGAAAGAAAAAGAGAGAAACGTCAAAACTTTAATCATTTGTGTCTATCTCTCTCATGCCACATGTGCATCGTGCATATTGTAGCATTGGAAATGTTCTAATGTAGTTATGAGAGATGATGATGGAAAATATAGTCTAGTGATGTACGGACATCATTCATCATTTTTTTTGTGTAGTCATAATTGTTTAAAGTTAAATATAGAAATATAGTCTAATTCTAAATTATGAAAATTAGAAATTAAAATATGGCCGAAATTTAAAGTTAAATATAGTATTCTACGTAATACTCCGTAGAATCTGGTTTGGAAGAATAAAACTGTGATGTTCTTTCCAAATAAATTAATGGATGCTTTAAAAAAAATAGTCGATATTTAATCTGATTTTGAGGTTGATAAAGTTACCAAATAAGATGGATATACAAAACATAATACTCCTTAGAAAATAGAAGGTATAGAAAGTAATTTTAATGATGACATGACATGGTTATGTGGCAATCTTTATGCTCTTAAAAAGTTCCTTTTATATATATATATATATATATTGATTTTTAAGGGAATGTAAATTAGACTCTAATCAATAGTTTGAGAGCGAGACTATATTCGTTTTTATTTTTAAATATCAGGGGGAGTATTAGTCATTTTATTTCTCTATTAGGGGAGATATTTTGTTATGAAAGATCTAGCGGGTCTTCATTTTCTATTAGAGGTTCTGGTTGTGCGAAATTCCTCTAATTTATTTTTATCCCAAGTGAAGTATGTGTCTCACTCACTCATTTTCATCTTCATACTCCTAAATTTGTTCACATGTCGCTGCCTAGTAGAACCAAACTTTCTCTCACTTATGGGGAATTGCTTGCTGATCCTACGAAGTATCGTATCATGGTAGGTGCTTTGCGGTATTTGACCCTAGTTAGCTTTTTGCGTTTTAAACAAATACCGTTTTTTTTAGTAAAAAAGACGTTTAATACGAAAAATAATGTCAGTCCGTTTAAAAAGGGAAAAAACTTCACCTTCCCGTATAAAACGTATTTTCCCCGTATTTTACAAAAAATAGAAAAATGAATTGATCAATTGAATGAATAAATTAAATGGACAGGAGATCAACAATAGTTTAAAAGCAAAAAGAAAAACCTCCTCCCCGTGACCTCGTATTTTTGTATTGTTACAATACAATTATTAAATACTCCTAAATTCCATGGCAGCTTAACTTCCTAAAAGAATAGAACTTAAAATACAACTAGATTTTTGATGTTTTTCCAAAGAAGCATAAAAAAATTAAGGTTTTTCTAAACGTGACATTTTTTAGTATAAACTTTTACATATAAACAATAGTAAGTGTACCAGTCACACAAATTTTCTCATATGCCATCCGTCATCTTGATGAAAATGATGAGTTTAACTTGAGTGTTATTTGATGATCATATAAAGATAGTGATTTTAGTTTAGTCTCATTCAATTGTTATCGTGTCTTGTTTTTTTGACATTATTTTGCAAAATTATGTGTTGGACTTATTACTATTTTTATTTTTGTAATCGACTATGCAATTACGAATTACTCTTTTATGTATCAATAATAGGATTTGTTACTTGAATATGTGTATACTTTAATTTCTTTTTATTATATATGTTATTTTGTAAAGTATATAATTCAAATGTTCAAGATAGTACCCCGTATTTTTTCGTCCAGATTTTTGTAATAGATATCGTATCATACACATATACTTATTACATGTGTTGTTCGTTTGGTGTCTCAATTTTACATGTGTTGTTCGTTTGGTGTCTCAATTTTACATGTGTTGTTCGTTTGGTGTCTCAATTTTTGCACGCCCCTCGTAATTCACATATGTTGGTTGTCAAGAGATTTTGCAGGTATCTACAGGGTAGGGGTGAACAAAAAAACCGAAAAACCGAAACCGGCCGACAAACTGACCGAAACCGAACCGACCAAAACCGAAACCGACTCAAACCGAAACCGACTCAAACCGACTAATCATTGACGGTTCGGTTTGCGGTTTCACCTTTTGGGTTAAAAAACCGACCGAACCGAAACCGACCGACAAAATCGACAAAAAACATGCTAAAACCGACCGAAACCGACCGCAAATAACCGAACCGAAACCGACTCAAGTACTGCGGTTCGGTTTTCGGTTTCACCTTTTCAAAAACCGAAACCGACCAAACTGAACCGACCAAACCGAAAACCGACCAAACCGAACCGACGAACACCCCTACTACAGGGCACTCTTACGCATGGATTACATCTTCGCCTCTCAACACATCCACATTCAGTTCTGGCGCACTCTGATGTTGTTTGGGCTGGTTGTCCTGATAGCAGTCGCTCCACGTCTGGATATGTTGTTTTTCCGGGTCCTAATTTGATCTCTTGGCGGTCCAAAAAATAACCTACTGTCTCTTGATCCCCCACTCAAACTGGGTATAGAGCCATTGCATATACGGTTCATGATACATTACACATACGATCTATTTTGTTTGAACTGAGTTTTCCTATTCATCGCCCTCTTAGTCTCTTGTGTGATAATGTAACTACCTCGTATTTATATGCTAATCACATCCAACATGCTCGAAGTAAGCACATTGATATTGATTATCATTTTATCCGGAAACATGTAATGTAGCTTATGGTGATCTTTTAGTGCAGTATGTTCCTAAAAAGTTTCAGTTGGTTGACATTTTCACCGAGAGTTTGGTTCCTCGTCAGTTTTTACTTTACGAGACAATCTACACACAATCCCTCATGCATAGATTGAGGAAATGTAAGAGTGTAGATTTAACTGTTATTAATTATTAGCTAGTCTCCTAATTGTATTAGACAACTTATT